TTTTTTTTTTTTTTTTTGTATTTTTAATAGAGACGGGGTTTCATCATGTTGGCCAGGCTGCTCTCGAACTCCTGACCTCCAGAGATCCATCGGCCTCTGCCTCCCAAAGTGCTGGGATTACAGGCATGAACCACTGTGCCCGGACTCTTCTGCTTGTTTCTAACTTTATCTAAATAAAGTTAGATTGGAACACAACTGAGCTCATCATTTGCATACTGTTTGTGACTGCTTTTTGTGCTATGATGGCAGAGTTGAGGAGTTGCAACTGAGATGCTATAGGCTGCAAGCCTTACATACTTACACCCCGGCCCTTTAAGGAAACATTTGGTGACCCCTGTTCTAGGATGATAGATGGGGCCACATAGAGCCACATCTGACTTGATGCAGAGATCACTGTGCATTTTCCGGAGATTCTCATCTTTTGAGCTGGGTTCCTGGACTGGTTGGGACTTTGTGTTTTCTCCCATGGAGTAAGAGTGAGTGAGTGAGTGTTTTGTGGAGGAAGGAGAGAGAAGAGGGGCATTTGGTGACCAGAATGTGGCTGAGATCATGAATACTCACTAAATATTCTTGTGCTCTCCCTAGCTGCTCTGTAGTTGGGTGTGGTCAGAAAATAAGTTATTGGCAATAAATCACCAAGAAAAAATGTCACATATCACTCCCGGCCTGAGCCATTGAAACACTCTTACATAATTCTCTGTGCTTTCTCCTCCTTGGATGTGGAGCTCTGGAAGCATCATGTTAAGATGATGGAGACACAAGGTACAGACAGCCAGACCCCTGAGTCACCTTGGAAGGTCTGACTGGTACAATAAACATAACAGCTGTCATAATTTAAATAAAATTGAGTTTATACTTATATATTGTTGATGGTGACAAGAGGCAGAGAAATTCTAGGTGGACGGGGCGGATCCCTGGCAAAGCCTCACCCTCAAGTCAAAAAGCCTGAGACTGAGGCCCAAAGTGAGAACTTCTGTCCTTGTTTCCCTGCTCAAATGTTGCCTTTTCCTAAACCACCCATGGCCCCACCCCATCCTATCCTGTGCCTATAAAGACCCCAGACTCAGCTGACAGAGGGGAGAAGCCACTGGATGTTGGGGACTATGGCTGGACATTGGAGAGAAGTGGCTAGACTTCAGAGAACTTGCTGATATAAGTTCAGAGAAGAATCCAGCTAGAGATGGCTGGACTCCAGGGGAAGATACCTGCCCCATCCTCTTTTCAGCTCCCCTTCCTGCTGAGAGCCACTTTCACTGGGGACAATAAAGCCCCCTGCATTTGCCATTCTTTAATTCGTTCATGCAACCTCATTTCTCCTGGACAATGGATAAGAGCTCAGGAAACATGAGTGCAGATACAAAGGGCCCACCGAGCTGTTACTACTTAAGCCATCTACGGACGGCAGAGCTAAAAGAGCTTTGGGGCTTCAGGGGTTGCAGACACATCCCAGATGCTGCTGCAGAACCCGCACAGAGCTCACTCCTGCCTGCACTCAAAAGCAGTCACCCTGCTCCTGCTCACCTGCATGCTCCCTCCCATGAGGGGTAGAATACGATGGGTACGAGTGAGTGGAATTCCCTCCTGCTGCAGCAGAAATGGCCAGCTGCTTCCAGTGCTCATATACTGTAGTTCCACCTTGTTTCCTTACATGCTGCCTCCCACGAGGAGTTGAGAATGGTGGGCTGAGCAAGTGGGGCATGCCTGCTGCAAGTCCCATGAAGAGGTCAAGGAAATATCCTGCTTTGCTATCTAAATTTAATAATACGATTTTATAGTTATGTTATTAATAGTTTCCCATACTGTGTAAAATGGTCTTTGGAAACATGATTTTTAATAACTTTATGTTATTCCATTGGATTATTTCATTGATAATGCGCCATGCATGGAAAGGTATCAGGAGAAAGATGAGTTTATTCACTGCTTGTAGGAAAACAGCTTAGTGCAATTTTTTTTGAAGTACATAATAAGAGATGTCAATTAGCTGGGCATAGTGGCACACACCCATAGTTGCAGCTACTCATGAGGCTGAAGCAGGAGGATTGCTTAAGCCCAGGAGGCAGGGGTGGCAGTGGATGGACATGGCACAACGGTACTCCCACCTGAGTGACAGGGGGAGACTCTGTCTCAAAAAATACATAAATAAAGAGATGTGGACAATAATTTATGAACCAAGATTTTTATTTTAGCTTAATTTATAATGTCAAAATTGAAAATGACCTAAATGTCCAGCAGTCACCAATCTGTTAAATAAATGGCGGTGCATTTCCAATCATTGTTGATGTGGCTTCTTTAGCATCAAGTGGCTGGAACTTGAAACAGAAAAATGGATCTTATCTGACAACTGGCAGCTTGAATACTCTGTCTTTTGCACTGTACCTATTCATTTCCTGCCGACTGCCTTGGATTATAGATAGGGCTGGCTGAGGTTTTTCTCCTCTTAGTTTTCTTGGCAACTCATGACTTCTGGCTGCAAAGACTCTTCAGATGGTCTCTTGGACATCAAACAGCTACAGCCCAACATTTGGTTACATAAAGTGCAAATGAATCATGAACATGTGGATTGTATTTCTATTCAAATACACAGGGATTTCAAATTATGGGAAATGGACTATGGGCTGTACAAATTAGCACTGGGTTTGGGAAATTGATGGAAATGCTGAACAGATTCTCAGTTATGTCCATCTACTCTTCCCCGAAACATTCTTCCTTCACACCCTACAAATGACAGTTATTTAATTTGAAGGAATGCCGAAAGCTAGTCTTCCCTGCAAGAGAGAGGGAAGGCCAAATGAATTTGCCAAAGGTTCTAGGGTTTATTTATTGTGTTCCAAAGCCAGCAAAGACTGAACAACATGCAAAATATATCCTCCCTTCCCCTTGGCTTCTGTGTTGGAACTTTCCTAATTTTATCTTTCTTCAGTCTCTTCTCTGTCTTGGTGTTGCATCTCTGTTGCATGTCTTTTTCATTACTTGTTTCTTCAATGTTGAAATGTTATAAGGCTTCAGGCTTAGTCCATTTTTTGGATATTATTGTTATTTTCATTTTCTTCTCTCTCTGCTGCTTGAATCAGAATTTAGTCCATTTTTCTTACTGTGCTTTCTAGATTATTTTAAATCGGAACCTTTGACTCCAACTACTTTCTATACACTGATGATTTTCATATTTCTATCCCCAATTCGATCTCTCTCCTGACCGCCAGTACCTGCATCTGTATGCCCACCAAGCATCTCTACTCTCTGTAGCTCACAGATGCTCCAAACCTTATGTCCAAACTGAGCTCATCATCTTCCTCGTCATTCCAGTTGTTTTCCCTGCGTTCGTTGTTTTAGTAACTAGAAGTGTCAGTCACCAGTGCCATTATGTAGTTAGTTTAGACAATTTTGAGTTTTCGCTGTATGCCAGTCACTGAGTTAGATCAGGGACCGCAAAGATGAATAAGAGCCAGTTTTTTTGCCCTTTATCTGTTCACAACCCAGTGGAGAAGAAGACAGACATATGCACAAATAATTATAGAGAAAGCCCAACATTAGAAATACTCAGAGAGCCTTAGTAGCATGGGAAAGGGGTATGAATTATATAGGTAGTGGGATGCATTCAAAGGAGAATTTTAGAAGGGTGATCCCTGAGCTGACAATCAGAGGGTGAGAAAGGTAAAGGAAGAGGGGACAGCATGCACGAAAGCATGGAGGTGACAGACAGCAGTGGAAGCAGACAATTAGCACAATTTCAGCTTTGCTGGAGCCTGGCATTTGAAGCAAGGAGACAGGGCTTAGTTATATAAAGGCTTACATACCTTGTTCAGAAGATCTGAATTTTATCAGATAGTTTACGTCGTCTCTCGGGGAAGTGTTCAGTGGCAAATATAAAGGTCAGATTTCTCCCCCTCCTCCTCTCCTGCTACCTTCTTCTTCTTTCTTGAGAGAGGGTCTCCCTATGTTGCCCCGGCTGATCTTGAATTCCTGGTCTCAAGCAATCTTCCTACCCCAGCCTCTTAAACTGTTGGGATACAGGTGTGAGCCACTGTGCCTGGCCAAAAGGTCAGATTTTTGCAGCTATGAGAGAGGAGGAAATTGAGAAGTGTAAGACTGGATAGAGGTAGATAAATTAGGAGACTCTTGGGTTACTCTGACTGAATAGCATGAAAGCCTAAACCAGGAAGTGGCATAGAAGTCAGTGGGGCTGAGCGATGTTTAGAATATATAACTGTCAGGGGCCAGGGACAGTGGCTCACACCTGTAACCCTAGCACTTTGGGAAGCTGAGTTGGGCATATTGCTTGATGCCAAGGGTTCAAGACTAGCCTGGCCAACATGGCAAAACCCCATCTCTACTAAAAATACAAAAACCTTTAACTGATCTCGGCGGTGTGCCTGTCATCCCAGCTACTAGGGAGACAGAGGCACCAGAATTGCATGAATCCAGGAGGCAAAGGTTGCAGTGAGCCGAGCTCGAGGCACTGCCCTCCAGCTGAGCAACAGCACAAGACTTTGTCTCAAATAAATTAAAAAAAAAGAAGAAGAAGGAAAGAGCAAGAAAGAAAGAGAGAGAAAGGAAGGAAGGAAAGAAAGAAAAAGAGAAAGGAAGGAAGGAAAGAAAGAAAAGAAAGAAAGAAAGCAAATACCTGTCAGGACTTGAGCTGAAAGTTGAAATAAGGAAGAAGTCAGGGATAGATTATAGTTATCTGGGCTGGATGATGGGGAATCTAGTAACAATGTTAGTAGAGAAAACACAGGAGTCTCAGAAATATTCTTGATCTATTGGACTGTGATCCCTTGGACTCATCCTCCTGTTTCCAGTCCCTATACCATGGTGCATACTGATGCCCATGACTCAAGCATGCCCACCACCCTTTGCCATCTGGCTAACTCACTTGAGCTTCAGAGTCAACTCATCTGTCTATCCGGAGTTTCTCTGACCTGACTCAGCAGGGTCTGTGCGTCCACATCTCCCAGGGCTAAGCTTCATCCCCCAAATCACCCCACTGTAGTGTACTCGCCTCCGTGAGTCTCCAGTAGAGAGTTCTGAGGACGGAAGCC